TTTTAAAATTTAGTATCAATATTAACATTATGATGTTATAAATTATAGTTTCTCATCTAATGGATATAAATATTTAAATTAATTTGATTATTTATATTTAATAATGATATTATATAAAGGTGATAACTTCTCACAATTATTATATCTTTTGATCTTTCTTTTCATTTTGAAATTTGGATGTCAAATATGCACACAAATAATTTTTTGATAAAAAAATTAATATAATCATACATAATTGCAGTATTATTTGTTTTTTACCTTTTCAAATCAATATTTTCATCCCTTATAGCATTAACAAATTGAAGTGATGTACTATCAATATCATATAATATATAATATATAAATAATTTATTAATATAATAATTTTAAATTTAATACAATGTATCTGAATAATTTAAATATAATAAAAATTATACCTAAATTACCAAATAAAAAGCCCACATCTAATTATTTCAACTTGCTTGTTGAACTATTATTGCATTCAACTTCTGGAAGAGGTTCCCCATCCTCCAAATTTGGTTGTCCCAAATGATTCTTTTTTCTAAAAATACACAACAGACACAAACTACAGTATACTGATTGTAGGATTTGTTGAATCAAACAATGCCAAACTCCTGATCTTATTTGGAAACCATGACCTGGAGTCTTTGATGTTTCCCCCAATAGGAAGGGACACTATGAGTACATTAAAAAATACCACCTTCAATATATAGCTAGGTCCTGCTTGTATTGGTACTAGCCACATTGATGATTGAGAAAAGAAATTTTCAAAATTTGAACCAGATACTGGCCACCAAAAATGCAAACTTCTATCAAAAACTACAACCTTGCCTTCGAATTTGTCCCCCTTTTTAAAAAAGAAATAAATGTGTAAGGCCTTCACACATCTTCTATAACTTGATGGTGGCCAAAGACAAATGGACCCACTTGCATGAAGAAATGGCAACACCATGCCAAGAAATCACATCTACCTGCACTACCTAAATATGCTGGAACAAGTTGTGGAAGAACTCTGAGATGGTGAATTAGGGCATTTTGAATAATATTTTGATTTTTGAAGATATGAGAAAAAAGTTCATCATATGCATTTTTTTCAGAGTCCATAGAATTATGATCATTGTTGAATGTATTTCCCTTATAATTGTTTTCCCAAATATATGTAATTACCCTTACTGCTTCTGCAACATATTCTTCTTCCCATTCATTATTTTTATAATATTGTAATTTAAGGTGAGGATCCATTACTATTTAAAATAAATATTAATGAATAATTATAATGCAAGTAATATCACAGAACACATGTAGAAATATATTTTAACATACTTGTAGCAATTATATATATATATCCATTGGTGGTTGGATAATATTCTTTTATTTTTTCTGCAGCTATAGAAACAGCTTCTTTAATATAAGGTTTTGTTGTTGAATTATCAATTATGTCTTCAATTTTATCCAGCAGATAATTATAAACTGGTACACTAAATGCAAGTGTAGGATATAATTGACCTGAGATAAAGTCTGTAGCTTTTTTAAAATGCTAGAAATAAAACAAATAAGATTATTATGTGTATATATACTAAAGACTAATGCCGTAAATTATGATGATGGTAGTAATTGTATTTACAGCATATAAAAAGTGGTTGCGACCACTTTTGCAACCATACTTTTTCCTTTTTTGGATTACGGCACTAGTCTTTAATATATACATTTTTTTAAAAATTGTTACTTTATTACAAACCTGCATTAAGTTACAAATCTCTTCTAAACATCTCCATTCATTATCTGTTAGTATATAAATTCTAAGATCATTTTCAACAGATGCAAGGTTGTGAAGTGGCTATATTATTTAATATATTTATAAAATTTTAAAGTTTGCTCAACTATTAAGGAGGAAAAAAAGGAAACACAAATATTTTTAAGCACTATTGCTCTTTCTATCATCATCTCAGTGGAGTTCCACCTAGTTCTTATATCTGGTATAAGTTCTAGTATATTACATCCAGCTGCAATTTTTTTAAAAAAAATAGTTGCTTCATGACCACAAATCATCTATAATAATAATATTTGCAACAAATGTGACTTTTCATGCCTAGCCAGCATAAAAAAAAATGAGTATTTGGATCAAGAATTAGGACATTTATTTAACTGGATTTTTTATCTCTCACAATGAATGTTTTGCCTTCTTGTTTTGTTCTCATTCTTCCCAAAAAATTCAGTTTAATAAAGTCTACTAACAAAGCTCTTTTTGAAGTTCGTTATAATTACAATTATTTACAACAGCAATAACAGCAACTTGTAATTTGTAATTTGCATAACAATTACACAATTACAATTACTAGAAAAATGATTTGAGGGAATTGCCTTTTCAAGAAATCAAATGGCAAGAATCTGCACGATCAACTTGAAATAAATTCATTCATTATATTAAAGTGTTAATTAACCTTGGACCTTTTAATGTATCTATAGTGATAGTAATATTAATTTTACCTTATCAATAACAATGACATTTTTCACTCTTGGACCTCAATTAGAAATTTTCTAGGTGAAAACAAATCAGTTTGCACAAGAAACACCCAAAAAAGATCACAAATTACCTTTGTTGAATCAAAGCACTAGTAGTATTATTATTTTTTAAAATTATATAAGAAGGTTTCTATTTCATATTGGTGATATGGTTTAAAAAAAGCATGATGAGTAATAATAGAAATATAACAATTATAAAAATTCAAATTTATTTATTGCAACAAATATTATTATGTTTTTTGATATTCACTTTGGCCGGTTCGTTGCAAGCATGTCACAATATACTATTACTTAGTGCAGGTGTGTTTAAAATTTGACTTCATATTTTAGCAATCCATATTTAACAACAACAAACTTAGTAATAATTAGAGTTTGGAAAGAATATGAATTGGAAATTGCTTTTTTGGATGAATATTTTAAATTTACAATTATAGAATTAATAATTTAGTTTAGATTATATTAATAATAATAATTAATAATAAATTTTTTATTTTTTTTATTTTCTCATTTTCTCTAAATTATCCTATGATAATTAATATATAAATACATATATATTTATATCTCATCCAAATGTCTTTATCAAAGGTAATATTCTATTATGAAGGATAAAAAAAAAACAAATAAAAAAATCTTAAAGCTAAACCAATCTATTTTCTAGCTTCTATTTGACAATAAGAATTTTACTTCTTTCTTCTTTAATTAAATCTTCTAATGCAGGCACAACTTCAGGATTTGTGATCTTCCATAAATCACAAAAATCCCTTGCTAAATCAGCAGGGTCATCATTAACATGAACATAAATGGTTTGTGAGCAACCTTTCCCAAGTACAACATTAATTGTTAATAAACATCTACCACGTTCATGTTTATCAAAACATCTTGGTATCCTTTTTAATGTTTGGTAATCATTAACATTAACTTCATCTTCATCAGTAGGTGGCGGTGAAGATGGTGGTGAAGATGATGGCAGTGAAGGTGATTGATTCCAATATGGAGTTGAATCAAATTCTGGAGGAATAAAAGGTATATTATAATTATTATCTTGATATGATTTATTTTTCATATGTTTTGAAGCTGATTTATTATTTTGATCAGATTGTGAATCATTAATAACAGATTTTGATTTTGTTGAACTATTACCATTATTATTATTATTATTATTATTATTGTTATTATTATTATTATTATTATTATTACTATTATTATTATTGTTATTATTATTATTATTATTGTTATTATTATTATTACTATTATTATTTTTGATGTTGTTATTATTTACTTTAGATTTTGAAATGTCATGATTTATATCATTTTGCTTTGGCTTAATTTTCCAATTAGAAGAATCTTGTGATTTTTTTGATTGATGAGAACGATTCTGGTTATTTTTTTGATAGGAATTATTTCTCTGATGATTATAATGTTGTTTTTGTTGTAGTGGGTTTTGATTTGTTCTAGATGTTGTAGATGTTGTAGATGTTGTAGATGTTGTAGATGATGTTGATGATTGATGTTTGTGTTTAGATTTATTAGATTTAGATTTGGATGGTGTAGATTTATGTGTAGGTTGTGGATTTGGATTTGAAATATGAGATGTTGGTGTTGGTTTCAATGATGGTGATTTTTTGGATTTTCTATTAGGAATCTTTTTTCTTTGTATTTCTAATAAAGTTTTCTCATCAACTGGAATGAAATTTCTTCCTTGGCGATGTAATTGACCTGTACCTAAACCATCTTCTCTCTCTTTTATATCAGGATTAGCAAGGGAATGCCATGACATTGCAGTAGCATTTAGATCCATAGTCTCTAAAGCTGATTCTTCATCTATTGAGGATTGAGTGTTTGAAGGAATTGCTGCTGGAATTTGCTGATATAAAACTTGTTGTTGTAATTGTTGTTGAGGATGGGATTGTTGTTGAAGAGAATTGGGTTGATGGTATTGAAAAGTAATTGGTGGTGGCTGTTGTGTAAGTGGTGGTTGTGGTAGGGGTTGTGTTAAAAATGGTTGCTGTTGTTGTTGTTGCTGATGTTGCATTTGCTGGGTGTTAGGCCAATTTGTTTGCTGTTGTTCATATTGTTGTGTAGGTGGCTGTTGTTGTATTTGTTGTGAGTATAATATTTGTGGTTGAGGTTGAGGTTGTTGTGGGTTTGTCCAAACTGTTTGTTGCAATTGGCCATTATTATATTGTGGTTGTGGTGTAGATTGTAATTGTTGTGATGGTAATTGTGATACATATGACGTAAATTGAGGTTGTGGTTGTAAGTTATTATTATTATAACTATTATTATAATCGTAATAGTAATTGTTGTTGTTATACTGATAATTGCTATCATAATTGTTTGTGTATGCTATATTATTATTATTAATGTTTACATTGCTGATGTTGTTATTATCATTGCTAATACTATTAATGTTATATGCAGTTCTTTCAGAACCAAAGACCGCACCCTTAGCAGTAATATTTTCTATAGCATCAAGTTGTTTAACACCATCACCACTACCACCACCGTCCTGATGTAAACCACTTAAATCTACTATTTGCGTTGAACTATTATTGTTGCTCACATCATTCCATCCATTCCATGCTAAATTTTGCATAATGGTTTTATGGGTTTTGTTTTATTTTGAAGTGTAAAATAAAAATTTTTTTTTTATTCTATACTATATATAATGATTTCTTTTCCAAAAAAGTAACGTAAATCTACACATATACATACACAATTACTATTTTTTATCTTATCTATCTTATCTTTATTTGAATTTTCTTTTTCAGTAATAATAACAGGATAATAAATTACTAAAAATAAAAAAACTTGATCTAACCGTATTGCTATATTAATAATAATGTAAAAGCGGGGAAATTTTATGCGGAGTATTATTTTCATTATAGGAAAATTATCTTTAGACATTAAAATGGACAAATACATTTTTCTCCATTATCTTTTATAACTTCTGCTTCCATCATCAAATTCCATCTATCTACAATTTTGACTTTTTAGAATCTCCCTTTAATTTTCTTTTCTTCAAAATATGGGCAGCAGCAGAACTTTCCCTCTCATTATTCTATTATTTCTTCTTCTATTGTAGTGATAAATTAAAAAGTTCAGTCATCTATTAATTATTTGTCGAACGCAGCTACTAATTATTATTTTTATTTAATTATTCTATTCTATTGAATGAATTAATTACTCAACCCTGATAACGCAGCAAGAAAACAAATACTAATTTCTAAAATGCATTACGAAAATCATCACATTTTTTAGCTTTTATCAGATTTGCAGATTTTCTTTGTCAATTAGATGGAGAAGGATTATGGTTAAACCCTATTTCAACTAATCTATGGGATTGCGTCTAAAATTCGTTATATCAAAATTACTAATCGCGTTTCAACGAATTTTACATGGTTTTAAAATTTTGTTGTAACGCGAGTTTAATTATAATTCATTGAAGTACTATTATTTATTAATTATTTATTTTTTTTGGTTAATCTCTAACCTAACAAGAAAACAGACAAGAAAATAAAATCAAAACATAAGCATGGGTTGCTTTTTTTTCCTCTTATGTTTTAAAAAAGACTTGGTGATGTTTCTTGACAACAATTAATTGGCGATTATGAACCAGTGAAAATTAATTAATGTTTGGTGGGGAAGATACATAAAAAGTTGTACTATACTTTTGTTCCACTATTATCGGTTATATTAATTTTTTCCCTAGGTCATCCTCTATATAATGGACCATTTGGCTTAGGAAAAATGTCCGTTATAGACAATAATAATAGTGTTTATATATGTACATATAAATTGGGCTTGAATTCTCAATCCATTATAGAGCAGGATCCGTTATAGAAGGATCAATATTAGGTAGAGAATGAGCTTATTCATTCCCAGGTATCGTTTTTTCATTTTGTACATTTCAATTGATATGGATGGTGCATTGTTCAACATTGCACATTGGGAATGAATTTCTGCACAAATTTTCATGGAAATAAGAAAATATTTATCTAGATTTATATAATATATATACTGTATACCTTCGAGTTTCTTCTCCAATCTGCTTTATGTGTCTCGTTCATCCGCTATGACAAGGTTTGACTGTAATCTTACTTGGTGAACATATGGAATACGACACTTGCCATGTGTGATATGCTGTATGCTGCATTAGCGTCGTAACCTTCAGATGTTCATATGTTTGCATCCTTATTTTCAAAAAAAAATTTTTTTTATATATTATATTACAACCTCAGCTGTAATTATCAAGGGTGTAAATGAAAACATGACCTCAACATTGTCATGAAGTAAGTTGGTGTGATAGATTCTAATTGTAGTTATTTTGTGAAAGTTCTTCAAGATCGAGTGAATAATTACAAACCTTCTGCGCGTCATTGCGAACTAGGCAACTTCATGCAGCACAAGCTAAAAAAATGGCAGAAGATAATCAATCAATTATTTAATAAAATAGAACAAACTCGATTTCAATTATAAGCATGTAACGTAGAAAAATTTCAGTTTTGCCAATGACCAATACGCACCAAAAAGTTTTTTCTTCCCCATTTTTTTTTTTTTGAAAAAAAAAACCAATTGAATTAGGAATTCATCATCAATAAACATTTGGTATGATTCTGAAGATGATATGTTGTTTACTAATAACCAGAGATTTATATTTTTGCATTGATGTCTCGTTTTTTTTTTTTTATACAATAGTTTAAATATCAAAACGTAGAGCAAGACCTATGTCTTTACGACATGAGTAATTATACAAGGTTGTTTATCATGATGATGACAAACAAATGATTGTCATACTTTTTCGTTGTCATTATTAATGTTAAACAATGTTAAATGATTATAAGAAAGCCAGAGGTAAGAAAAGCAACACAATCATTGAAGGTCTCTTCTTAAAACCGCATGCACTCGGACAATTCGGAAACACCAAACAGCTTGATATGAAACGTTTGCATTCGATTAAGTTACTGAATTTAAACCCTTACATCTTTCTCGTGTACATAAAGTTAAGCTCATCGAGCCTCCCTTCCTTTGGATATGATGATGCAATTAGATTTTCGGGGATAGATGACTCTGAAGCTTATGGAGGTCACATCGTTGTCAAGGTGGCTGTTAAAGCGGGGTTGGCGTCGGACAACACAAAAAACATTTAATGAAAAGTGGTTATAGCATTAATATTATACATTTTGTCAAAATCCATTTGGCTTTGATTCAATTCCAAAATCCCAGTTCTATTTATATGTTTTTCATATGAATCAATTAATTGCTTAAAAAGCCACCCGGTTGAGTCAAGTGATCGATCTATTTCTATCACATGTATAATTAGCAGCATTAATGTTAGGCATTGTCCAATGCGCCTTGTGAACATTGGACAATGTCGACCATGATTATATTAACATAGACATAGATCACAAGTCCAAACAAACTTCCACTATACTACTCATGACAATCAATTTTTATACCAATCATTTGATAATGCAGCTTTGTTAAAATGGTCGAAAGTTATCATAAAAATCTAGTCAATTAATAAGCCAGTCTTAGGAATATATTTAATGATACTTTGTCTTCATAATAAATACATTTCGTTAGAAATATTTGGGTTCTATTACAGGAATAGTCGCTATTTGTATTTTTTTAAAAATACGTGCAATTGCTCCATTCTTAACCAATCCAGTCTCATAATCGCTATGTTCTCCAATACAACCATCTCCATATTTAATCATTAATTTAACGTATTTTTTATTTTTTGTTGTATTAACACGCTATCAGAATATTTGATTGAATATATCCATCCTGGCAGTTGTACCTAATATTAATACACTTTATTAAGACTTGACCCAATGAAAAATTTTGTCTAGATGCACTTACTTCTCATCAAGAATCACTAATTTAATAATAGATGTTTGAAGAATTGATAGAACGTATATCTTCTGAAGAAATTAAAGATATTATTAATTTGCCATTTTATGAAATGATTCCGAAAATTATAATTACAACAAGTATTCTAAAGAATAGCTTGATCAATAGAAAATTTATTTGATAAATAGACGAAATGAAATGTGATCCTTCCAATAAAGTTACATGATAATGAGTAATTATCAATTATTTAATAATTATTTATTTAAGGGGCATAATATCATTAACATTTATATATAAATATTACATTATCTTATCATTTAATTCTTCAATTGTAAGGCTTATTGTATTGATTATTATAATCTTGACAAAATAAACGGTCGATTAAAGCAAATTCTCTTTATTTAAATAAATTTAACATAAAAATTTGTCAATGAAATAATACAAGCCGAAAGAACACTGCTCAACAACCTATGGATTTCATTTAAATCCTCCCCCCCATCATCGTCTTCATTTTCTTTTCTTATCTGGATTAGCACCTATGTATTTGGTGTGTTGTTTGAGAATCCAGCCAGATCCTAATCCTTCACATATTTTTATTGCAAGATCTTCATCATGTGTGATGCTGTCCCACCGACAGCATCAATACTCCAAAGCTATATATATCTGATGCTATTGTATATGGTTTAACACCATTTAATACTTCTGGTGCAAAATATGGAATAACTCCAAAAACATCATTTTTATTTGATGTTAATGTTCGACTAGCTGGAATTAACGACTTCAACTCTACGATATATGAAAAAATATTACTACGAACTAGCTTTAAACCATCAACAATGTTATAAAAAACTTTTTTTTTAAATTTCCATATTAAATTAGATATTTTTGATAAATGATGTTGAAAATTTCCTTCTTCCGGATATTTCATTACAAATATATTTTCTTTCGATATTAAATATTGTGTTATTATTTGATGAAATTTAACATAATTTTCAAACTAAAAAAAATAAAATGGCTTTAATTCAAGGATAATAATAATTAATAGCACACAAAAAATCAAAAGATAAATAGAGATAGGATTATTACCTCGTTTAAAAATTCTTTGGAATTATTTTGGAAATTATTCGATTTTTTTAATGAAACAATTCTAACTTTGCAATGCCTTCCACGATCACCAATCCATATAGTATTATACCTATCGCAAGTTTCATCACCATCATTTGAATTTTTTTTCATCTTGAATAATTAAAATTTTTTTTAAATTTTTTTTTTTAAAAAAAAAAATTTTTTAAATGACCTTACAAATTTTTATAGTTGTGAAACATAGATTTTGATAATCAAATTGTTCTTGCAAAGAAGTCTCTTACTTTTAAAAGACCATTCCTATGGAAATAACTATCTATATATGGCTGATAAATGTTTTTGTTGAAAATTAAAATTTAACCAATCAAAAAGGAGTTTCACACCAAACCTAAAATTTAAGCAAATTTTGTATTAGTTTTACTCTACAACTAACTACTTTAACCTTTATTACTCGAGAGTAGTTTCTATTAATTTAAAACTCACTTTGTACTCCGTTCAAAATTGTCTTTCCTTCACTCAAAAATCCCTTGTTACTACACGGTGTGGTCATTTGCCATTTTCAAAAATTCGTAAATAAAGATCGTCAAGAAAAAAAATGGATCACGAATTAATAATATAAAGTGAAAGAGAGCTTTTCGCTAGGAAATATGTTTCTAATTATAATTTTAATCAATATATACGGTACAAAGAATTCTTCAAAATAAATAAATAGTCATTAATCCCTGTAGAATCCTTTGCTTAATTTAGACGTTCTAAAAAGGTTATCCATCTCATTATCATCAGCTGCGAGTGCACCACTAGAAACATTCAAATTATCACTGAAATTGAAATCGTTAGTGATGGATGGACCCGTTTCAAATGATATCACCACGTTAGCAATTGGTATATGATTAATAATCCCCATACAAAGTGCGTCGTTACCAGGTATAAGGTGAATATGGATGGCCAGAAACGTAACAAAGATAACCTCCACCTCGACATATCGAACCTGGAACAAGCGAATTGGTGACTGGATCTTATGTAGCAGATGCGAATCCGGGGATATTCAAATTTTGTTTTTTTTTCGAGTTCCATAATAAATAAATGCTTAATTATTTAATTATTTTTTATTTTAAGAAGTAACTGTAGATTACCTTCAAAACTTGTCCGAGTATTAGCTCAAATTTGCCAAACATAAACGTAAGCGATAGCTAATACAATTTTATAAGGCACTTTAAAAACAATCACCAGAGATTTTGGATTCAATTAACAAATAAATGATTAAAAATAATACAAATGTATAAATGTAATAAAGATGATATTTAACTAATAAAATAAGATATTAATTAATAGACATGTTTTAACAATATTTGTTGGTATTATTTTGATTTTGTAATTTAAAATCTCTTTTACAGTTGGAAAGAACCTAGGGTATTTATATTGAACTCGCTATTTTTTTTATATCAATTTGAATTCTTTGATTTCTCTAAAACCCAATGAAGAATCAAAGCAATTCATTTCGTTTAAGTATATAGTTTTGTTTATTTTGTTTGGTAAATTAGTTAAATTGGTGAAATCGCCTTTATTATTATTTATGTATATATTAGGAAATGAGATCTTGCAGAATTTTATTCAAAAAATACTCAAATATTAATATTCAAAAAAAGAACTATATACGAATTTCGAAATATGTTGGATGGTTTTTAATTATGGATGGAATATCATGAATAACCAAATGTATTTAACTAAAAAGTATTATGAGATGACGACTGTTGCGCCAACATTTTCTGTTATGTATTAAAATAACAATAATATACCACATGATATGTAAAAAGCTCTCATTTCGTCAATTTTAGGATGAAATAATTATTTAAAATTTTTTGCTTGATTAATAATCTTTTGAGTCATTGGCCACATCAGTCCAGCTTCAAACCTGTTTGGTTTCTAAATGTAAAATTGCGTCATGTAAATTACAAAAGGAATTTGGAAAATTTAAAAATTATCAATTATCTTTTATCTTTCTGAACTTCTTCCATCCATATTTTCATACTTGATAAAATTAATAATCACAAATATCTCATTTAACATGAATAAACCACCACGAAAAAGCTATATCAAATATAGTACCAAAGTAAACTTTTCATATCCTGTGGGTCAATATTCATTTCAAATTGGTCGTTTAGGAATAGAAGATTCTTACATAACTGGTACACTCCATCTTCAATTCGATCAAGACGAACCATTGTTCGCCAAGAAAATTATTTTAAAATTCATTGGCAATGAAAACGTATCTTGGACTGAACGTAGAACTAATAGTGCTGCTAATAAGAGGGAACACACTGCAAGTGTAACATATTCAGCAAACAATGTTTTATGTTGTCTAACTACATGTTTGTTGGAAACTTCAAACGATTCTTATCAAAAAATATTAAACATGGATTTCCCATTCAAATTCAAATTACCAGAAAATATTCCTTCGTCTTTAAATGCGGGAGCCGGTAATGTTGACTATATGCTTATCGCAGAAATATCTCGAAAAAGAAACATTTTGAAATTCCAAAAGTCAAAGAAAAGGGTTTCTTGCTATTGTAATATCTTAAAATATTATTTACTCCCACCACCAATTCCTATATATTGGGTAGAATATGATACCAAGAAAGCCATCGAATTAAATGGTCTAGGTTATGACATTCGCATGGATGGTGAAAATTTTGGACCAAGTAACCCAATAATTGTTTATGCAAAATTGAAACTATATAATCCTAAATTAAAGATTAAAGAAATATTCGTTGGATTAAAAAAATATTGTAGTTTTAAAGCTGAAGGTAATACAAATTCTGTAAAGGGATATGTATTAAACGAACGAGTTGTTGGTGATACAATCACATGGGATAATTATAATGAATACTATTGTGTTTTTACTTTAAACGTTCCTGAAGATTTAACAAGAATTGGACAGACATTCAAACATAAGCTTGTTTTTGTAACCTATAAGATTAAAATGAAGATTAAAAAAGTAGGGATTTTTAATAAGAATATTAATTTAGAACATAATGTTAGAATTGACCGCTTTTTGCCTGTAGATTATTAATTTTATTGTTTCATATTAATATAATAATTTATTAAGTATATTACCGTAAAATCCAATCCATACACTTTTGCTTATCTATTCTGTCAATAAAGTCATATATGTAACTACCATAATTATATGGCGTTTAACAAGAACCCAAGAGTGATCACAGGGTATTGGAAAGTATTTTTTACACGTTGTGTAATATAGTTGGTAAATATACATTTGGATTTCCCTCGACGGTTAATAAACTTGTTAATTATTATACATATTCGAATCAAGGTTACTCGTTTCTAGATATCTACATATCTCCTGTAAACAAACACTGCCTTCGTACCTTGCGTGTTCCTATTGATTATTATATCTTCCCCATCGATGATATGGAATGATCACATTGGATATATTGACCATAAGAACTTTCCGGAGGCTTTGGTTTAGGGCATCTTGCCTTTTTCGTTGAACTCGATCCAGTCAGAACATTCGAGACAAAATCAATCATAGTGTGGATGGCCCAATTTCAGTAATATATTTGATATGAATAAGAATACGCCCGCTCAACTCATCACATAATATACGGGTATCATGAGCATTAAGGAGTTGTACCATGGTTGCTTGACTTTTTAAGTTTCAAAGAAATATAAAAAATAAATCAGAGTTTATTGTACTTAACACGCATACGATCGAATGATCTGAGCATGGGAAAGATCCCAGGAGGCCTGTTGAAAACTTCAATGCGATTTCTATAAACCCAGAGCTATCATATCCTACAGAACGTGGAGATTTGTTTAATCTTTTTTTTTGCAAAATTTCAATTAGAATGACTGAGAATATCTTGGTTTCCCGTTTTTATCATAAGGGTGCCCCGACACTGACCCGCACTTGTAGACAATTTGAGTTATTACTTATCAGAATCAAATATTAAATACTATAAATAAATGGTTAAAAGTTTATAAATTAAAATGGCTATGATCACCAAGGTGATCTATTTTTTTTTTTATTGATTATTATTATTATGATACAAGTCACTTTCGTTATAATGATAATGAATGGCGTTCGTTATTATTATAATGACAATCTTGTTATGAATACGACATTATAATAATAATATAATAATAATAATAATAATAGAATTTTATTCCGTAAATTTTAATTTCCTGATTTTTTTTATTATCAAAATTGTGGTATAATGCTGATCAAAATGAAATAATAAAAAATTATAAAATCACATGATAATGATTCTCACATGACTTTTTATATGAATGTTGTAACGACAAACTCGTCATACTAATACTGACATTTTTTGTTTGCACGGAGAGTGTCGTTATAACGGGGATGACTTGTAAACTTATTGATCTTCAGATAAATAAACGAACAAGAAAATTAATTTCACATCAAGGACGCTTGAGATCTATTTAAAAATAAGTTAGTAATATTTGGCACAAAGTCTTTTTGCATGATTTTCCCACCATCTACCTCTTCCTTGTAAGTAAACCATATATTATCTTTGATGAACTTGGCTTTCTAATATCTCTTTTGTAATGTTATAATGTAATAAAGCGATAACAGCAACAAACAGTAATTTAAAAAAATATTCTGGATAATACACAAAAATTTAATCCAATATATTTAAGTTATTCACGTGATCACTCTGTTACTTAAAGTCTAGAGCATGAAATAGTTCAAAAGCGAGTTGATGGTTGATTAAATTTTATTTTTCAAAATTATTTCTTGGTTGTTGCATATTTATCATTATTATTATTCTATACAAGGTCGTCTAGTGTTCCTATTCGTATCTCTAACCCCATATTCGAGTATCCACTTTCGAATATCCGTAATAGTAACACTTTCAAATACTTTTAAATTAATACTAATACTTCCGGATATCATAGTACTTTTACTTTTAGATATCGTAATTATAATATATACTGTATATATATATATATATACATGTATATACACTAGCTGGACAAAAGTATTTGATCACGTATTTACACTAATTAGTAAAAACCCTACATAACAACATCACACGAAATTTATAACACTATGCACCTAGGTTTTGATAATTATATAATTCGAAATCTCACGTTGCTAGCTCTCATATTCATGCATGTATCAAATTTAATAAAAAAATTTCAAAAATGGTTTTTTTTTTCATGATCACCAAAATTGAAATTATTTCGTTGACTGCGATTTAGATGTTATCACTATTGTTTTTTTAATCATTGATTTTCTAGACATGATAGAAATACGAAATTTCATATATTTATTCTTCAAAACAATATCCCTCATTTATATAAAAATTTTTTTTTATTAATCTTGATATTTGGAAGCTAGCAACGTGAAATTTCGAATTATATAATTATCAAAACCTAGGTGCATAATATTATAAATTTCGTGTGATGTTGTTATGTAGGTTTTTTATTAATTAGTGTAAATACGTGATCAAATACTGTTGTCCAGCTGGTGTATATTAACGCAACAACATTTCATGTAATTAAATATTAATATATAAATTTTTAAAAAAATATAAAAGCTAATAAATATTACATTTTTACTAAGCATGCCTGTACGATAATTGAAAAACGGACATTGAAATGATTTCTCTAATATCACATTGAAATAATCATTATTATTGATAATTTTATGATGTTTCAAAAACAAAAATTTCATCAAAATCAACTCGTTATCATTTAACATGATTCGTTCAAATCTTTTTCGTTATCTTTACTTAATAATATTAATTGATAAGGTGGTGTTATTGTAATCGTAAACGTAAGACTGTTAAACAAGCTACTTAGGTTGCTTTTCAAGTAAACCAAAGCGAGTCAATAAATGCAAATGAATAAATTGATCACAAGTGAATAAAAGGAACTTTATAAAAGCTCTCGAGTTTTGTAAAAGACCATATTTATTTATTTACAGTTATCTGGTATCATTAGGTGTGCCCACAGTTCGCCTAGGTGCAAGAAAGAGGGAAACAAAGTAAATTGTAAACTAATTAATTGACAAGCACCGAATTACTTGCAATTAACTGCCAAGAGTAGTCAAAAGTTAA